TCATTTTCCTAATTCCGTCGACGAGCGCCCTAATCCATTAGGGTCCTTTAATCTTTGGCCATGAAAATTCGAGATGCCACACTCCGGCTTCTAATTAGTGGCTTCGGCTTCGCTAGAACAGCTCTGGACATGACGGTGGAACACAATCTTCAGGGCTTCACGATCAGTTCTTCACTGATCAACCGAGGAGGAGGTCCTCCTTGAGCGATCGATTCGCCGGCGCCGTTCCTTTTGTGGGAGCCGGACACTCGATCAAGGGACCTTAACTCCCTATTCTCTCTCTGGATTTTCTTTGTTTTAGCATTGTTTCTCTCTCTTCTCTCTCTCTAGCATAACGTCGAACACCTTTTTTCGCGCAATAATGTTCTTTCTCTCTTTTGTTGATCGATTTTCCTGCTCAAAATCCGTTGCCACCGACCTCTCGATCGGTTATAACGATTCTCTGGCGTCAGCTGAAGATTCACCAGCTGGCTATCTTAATTTTCACGTGTTTATTTGCTCAAGGTAAGTCAGCAAACTTATTGGGTTGAGAAGATATTTTCCTGGGTTCATTGTGTTTTGGGGTGAGTCGGGTAAGGAAGAAAGGTTCCCGGGTCGAGTCGGGTTAACCCGGCCGATCCGGCAGGTCTGATTTTGTCTAAAAATCCAAATTAAGCCCAATTTTAACTGAATTTTCAAAATTAAACCCCAAAATTGAATTCCTCATCACATTTTGAACCCAAATATGTGATTTTTCCCAATTTTTGACACAACCATGTCCAAGATTTTCAAATTTTTGTATTTGGGTTATTTGGATTTTGTTCAATTCAATGTCTTAATGACCTGATTAGGAAAAATTGGTGCCAAAATTGGATTACCCACATCTGATTAACCCTAGAAATGATGTTCTTATGGTTTGACAATTTTGAATTGGACATGATTCCCAATTTGGACTCAAAATTCCTAATTTTCAATTGAATTTTGGAGTTTTTTGGTTTCTTTGACAAATTGTGCAATTGGACTGACAATTGTGTAATTCAAGGTTCCAAAATCATTTGTTGTGAAGACACTACAACTTAAAAATGACTAGAAAAGATTTAATTGCATTTTTTGTCTAATTCGAGTTTGATTTTGCCCAGTTTTGGGAAAAATACATTCCCGATTGAGATTTTCCAAAATTGATGATGCATTAATGAAATTGGATTTAAAAGGAGACTAATGAATATTTTTATGAAATTTTTGGATTCCATTTGCTATTTTTCTTGATTTTCTTCCTTATTTTGATTAAAAGAAATTGAGAAAAATTCAAGAAAATTATAAAAAATTTATTTTTGGTCTAGAAATAGATTTCTGGGCTTGGTCAAGACGGTTAGGGTTCGACAGAACTGAGTAAGATTTCTCCCTTTTTTTATTTTTTTATAAAGTTACATTTTGACCCCTAAATTTTTGAAAATTTATAAAATTAACCCCACACGTGTCGAAATCGCATGTCAAAATTCCAGACTCGCGTATCGTCGGCGTGTCAGCTGTGTTGACCGTGTGTCGGATCTCCAACACGCGTTGACCGCATGTCCAAGTGTGTCGGCTGCGTGTTCGAGCGCGTCGGAGTGTGTCGAACATGCGACACGTGTCGGACACCGACACGGATGCCTACCAAGCGTGTCGGTGCTACTTAGGGAATGACTATATTGGCAAATCGTCAAAAGGCTTAAAATTAAATTGGAAAATTTAAAAAGTTTTCAACTGGATTGGCTATTGTAAAATAAGTCTAGGATTATCTGGCCAATTTTCCATAATTGAGAGAGAGTGTCGGAGTTCAAACCTTCCAGCCGTACTCTTGACTAGAAGTAAACATTTTATTTGAGAAATCGAAACATTTGTTTCACTACCATATAAAGCCAAATTGTCTAAAAAATTAACATCTAAACTTTCGAGAATATAAATTGGGATAAGTGCACTAGAAGTCCTAAAACTTGTCACGAAAATGCAATTGAGTCCTAAAAGTTTCATAATGTGCAATCGAATCCTAAAACTTGTCATGAAAGTGCAATCGAGTCCTAAAACTTTCAAAAAGTGCAAACAAGTCCTAAAACTTGTCACGAAAGTGCAAACGAGTCCTAATACTTGTCAAATTGATTCAATCAGGTTATAAGTTTTAGGACTTGTTTACACTTTTGAAAGTTTTAGGACTCGATTGCACTTTCATGATAAGTTTTAGGACTTTATCACATTTTTTAAAAGTTTTAGGACTCAATTACACTTTCGTGATAAGTTTTAGGACTTCTAGTTCACTTATCCCATATAAATTTGAAATCTTATATTGTCATTCAAGTATTTCCCTTGTTGGGTTATTAAGGATAAACTAGTCATTTAAATCGTTGCAAGTGTATACATATATATTGCTTCGCGGAAAATTTCATGAAATAGAAATGCTTTTTCATTGAAATCATTTATAGAAAATGGTTAGTTTATATTTGTTTGATGATTTACTGAAAAGTGTTACTGAAACCATCTATGGGTGTTTGGATCTCATTTATGAAAATAAATTCCTTAAAACGATCTGGTAAGACATAAAGTAAAAAAAAATTTATTTCTTTGATCAAATGTAAGGGCAATTACATCAAATATCAAAAGACATAGGAAAATAGAAATAAAATATTAAAAAATGTCAAAGACATTGGAAAATGATTTTCTCTATTCGTAATTGGGAATTCAATTTCCTAATTTTAAGTGTGGGGGTTTTCTTTGATTGTAAATGTATTTCCATTAACTAATCATTTTAGACAAATCAAATACATAAGAGTTAGATAACTTAATTCGCTAAAAGCTTTTTCAATGGAATAAACACAACTTTGCTTGTTTCGCAGAAAATAAATGATTTGAAAAATATTTTCGTAAAAACGGTCATTTATATTGCTTAAAATAATTAACCAACGGAAAATGTTTTCATTGTCGACAACAAGTTATATCTATATATTTCTATGGACGACATGTGCAAATATTTTTCGTTCATTCATTTTTACAAGCGATACAAACAATCGATTTAAGAAATATATTTTAAATTATTTAATTTTTGCAAAATAAAAGGAGGATTTATTTTTTCATTTTTGGAGAAGTGGAATAATTCCTCGGACGCATCGAATCAGCAAGTCTTACGAATCCGACGCTGACCAACCTCCACCATTTGAAGTTGAACCCTCGCTCTCTCTCTCTCGCTCGCTCCGCATCTCCTTTGCCTCTTTCTTATCCCTCTTCGTTTCCTCCTCCCCGCAACAGCAACAGCACTCCGCCGAATACGAATTCAACCACCCGAAAAACCACTCCCGAAAGAAGGAAATATGAAGGCGTCCCTGAAGGGGAAGTACGACCTGGACAAGAACGGCGCCGCCGCGACCATCGGCGTCAGCGCCAGCGAGCTCAAGCTCCGCGCCTCCATCACCGACGCTTTGTATTGTAAATTCAAAATTTCATGTTGACTATTGCTAACTAGGAATGAAGCTTTGTTGATGAAAGCTTCCGCATTTACGGCATCGTCATCCTGAAACAAACAAGAAATAAAACATAGCCATTGCTATACATACCAAGACTTCAAGATTAGTGCACATCTCAAGTGATGTGCTCAATCCCAACCGACACAATAAAAGCTACAAGCAATGTGACTGAAGGCTATGACATAATGAATATACTATCTACAAAAAGTAACGGGGCTGTTTGGTTCATGGAGAATTCCCAAAATTTCATTACCATTTTGCATGATGAAAATGATTTGAAAATATGTCTGGCAATATTCCGGAAACTGATTTTCAACGAAAGCACAGAGAAGTGATTTCCATTCTTTTGCTACAATACTGAAAACAACAAAATGATGTCACTCTCTTTTTCCCGTGTTTTCACTTTAGCAGGCAGAAAACAGCAAAGCGCATTATTCCTTCTTCATCTTCGGTGGAGGTTACACCAAGAAATCAATCCAGCTTCAATCGAGCAAAGGATTAGTCAATTGAGGGTGGCCGAAACTCCCTTAAGTTTTGTGCTTCACAGAACTAGATTGAGGAGTATCCACCAACAATCAGTATACACACAATCGCTCGAGTCTGCCGCTGTATGGAGAGGTGCTAAACGAATTGGGTTATGGAAGTGCTAGCTGTGATGCTTTGCAGCATTGTCTGGGATTTGATATGGGCTTATGTACTGGAATTTGATATTCGAGATCAAAACCATCACCAGCTTGCCTGATAACTTTCAACAACAGAACATGAAGCACGGCATCACAATCTAAAATTATTTTCCGTTCTTCCATTAGTCTTCACAAGATGGATTAATAGAAGGTTTCATTTGTATACTGGAGGACTTTGGTAATGATATAGGATTGGACTTCTTAATATTTCTTGTTAAACAGAGGTGTATATTGAGATTTTCCTCCACGTCATATATGTATAAACATCATGACCTTGACTTCTTTAATACCTCAGATCATACTATCTGTAGTTGAGCAGTTTTTTGACAAAATATACCATATGATGGGATAGACGTGGACTTTGTAATTTCTAAAATTCATTTTAATTGTGAACTAATAAAACCAAACATGTTTGCATAATTTTCATTGCGATAGAGAATTCTCTTTTTCACATATCACATACCAAACATGTTTCCAAAGAAATTGAAAATGAAAACAAAAGGTGTTCTCATTTCCATTTTCACTGGGAACATTTTCCAGTACCAACCCTAGTATTTCGAATTTTGTTGGTTCATAGGCATCACGAGTTGACCACCCTCACTTCAGAAAAAAGTTGTTGTATAAAGATCCTTACCTCAAGGTATAGGCGAGCAACTTGGACACATTTTGACAATCTGAAAGAATCATCTATCATCCTGATGACATAGGACAAGATTCAATGTCGACTGAAGATATTAAACCATTTAGATATAAAATCGCAAAAGCCAGTAAATATTGCATGGAGATGATGATACAAATACATCATGAGCTAAATGCACGAAGGTGAACATTAAACTTGCACCCATAACTCATTGCTGAGTCTAGATCAATGCCACTAAGCATTTGAGCTGCTTTTGACCATTGTTGCTCTGATTCATATAATTCTGCAAGCTTCTCTCTTATTATTAGTACCTGCCACTCAGATAGGAGCAACCATCAACAGTTTCAATATATTAGAATTTAAGCTCCCCTCTACTCCAATATAAATGCTCAAAGGGGTAGAGCGAAATTGATTGATCAATCTTCAAACAATTCATGACAGTGTAGTACTTATTAAGGGTGCATATGGTAACGTTTCTATTTCTGGGAACAATTTCTTTTCAGAAATAGTTTTTTCTATTTCTATTTCCTGGAAGAGTTTCTGAGCAAAATAATGCGTTTGGTAACTGCACAAAATTTCTATTTCTATAACAGAACTGTGTTTGATAACTGCACAAAATTTCTATTCCTGGAATAGAAAAAGAACAGAAATACGTTTGGTAACTGCACAAAATTTCTATTCCCAATTTTTTGCATTCAAATTTATATCTTTTATTTAACTATAAGTACAAGTTATAAGTGAAAAAAATCAATAAGCATGATTTATTGATTTGTCTAATTCTTTTTAGGGGTTTAAAACCCCTTTTAATCCCTAAACTAAGGAATCTTTGGGCACCTCAAAAATTTAAATTTCACTCAAAGTGGGTGGCCACAGGTATTCTAAGCCATTATGTGAATTTTTTAATATTTTTTTGGGGTAAAATTTATTAAAATTTTTTACTTTCCCTAAATCTGTTTCTTTTTATTTTTCCGAAAATTTTTTATGAAATTTTTTAAATTTTTTCAATTTCGGAATTTTGCAAATATTTAAGGGTTTTTTGAGTTTTTCTGATTTTTATGGATTTTCTGAGAATTTTTCTGATTTATATGAACTTTGGGAATTTTTTTAATTTTCTAATTTTTTATGGGATTTTTCTGAAAATTTTCTAATTTTTAAGAATTTTCGGATTTTTTTAATTTATTCTAAGCCATTATGTGAATTTTTTATTTTTGATTTTTTTTGGGGAAAAATTTATTAAAAATTTTTACTTTCCTAAAATTTGTCTCTTTTTAATTTCCAGAAAGCTTTTTATGAATTTTTTTTAATTTTTTCAATTTCGGAATTTTGCAAATTTTTATGGGTTTTCTGAGTTTTTCTGATTTTTATGGATTTTCTGAGAATTTTTCTGATTTTTATGAATTTTTTGAATTTTTTAAATTTTTATATTTTAATTAATTTTTTATAATTTTTTTTATTATTTCTGCCGAGAATGGACCGGACCGGTGCTTTGAGACGGTTTGCAGTCGACGGAGGATGGAGGAGGACCTGAGGTCTCGGCTTGAGGACCAGATCTTTCTATTTCTATTTCTATTTCTAGGAACAAAGAAGTAGATTTTTTCTACTTCTTATTTCTGCTCCAAATCTATTTCTTGGCCACTTTTCTATTCCAGGAAATAGAAAAATAAAATGCGTTACCAAACGGATTTCTGATCTTTTTTTGTTCCAAGGAACGGAAGAACAGAAAAATAGAGAAATAGAAGCGTTACCAAACGCGCCCTAAGGTGTCATCAATGAGAACAAACGATTCTAGTATCAAGTTCGCTCAACATCCGTGCTTTTCGGGGAGCTGAATAAGAGAGCGAATGGTAAAAACTCAACCTGCTCTTCAAACGAAACGACTCTAGGCTGTATTTGGGTGAGCGTGTAATGGGCAATCTCCTTTTGCGTCTTCGGGGCCAGAACCCCCAATTCCTAGGCCAAGTTCTGCAACAGCTGCCGCGACACCACGAGCGGGACATCATCGGAGAGCACTGAAAACCAACCCACCCCGCAAAAAGAACAAAAACAAGAATAGCATTCACGAACTAGTTTTCGATACTAGCAAGAGAACAACACTTCACACCAGTGGTCACGAGATGCCAGGGGCAATTTATCGGGGGGCCGAAAGAGAGTACTCAACTGTGATCGATGAACTTCTTGGCCTGGGCTATGTCGTTGGAGGCGAGGATGGAGGCCAAGATGTGCTTGTACTGCTCGATCCTCTACCTCTGGTCCGCGATTGAAGAAGCGTTCGCTAGGGCTCCCTCCATTGCACCTGTCCTTCGAAGAACAGGAGAACCCTAACTCTTCGGGGGCGACGGGAAGAGGTACCGGCGCTGCGCCGCCGGAGCCGACCCTGACTGCGTTTGTTTTCCGGTGAGTGACTTCGCCGTCGAGTGTTGCTGGTAAAAGATGAAAGGCAAAGGTGGAGATGAAGCAGCTGTTGCTGTTTGCTCTAAAGTTTTTTACGCTGCTCAGTTATTGGGTTTTTCGCTTCCGATCATAAACTGAAGGGTTAATACCACGAAAAACCCTAAACTGGTACACTTGTGACAGATTTACTCAAAACTATTTTTTTGACCATAAAAAACCCCAAACTGGTACATTTGTGACAGATTTACCCCGAACTATTTTTTTGACCACCAAAAACCCCAAACTGGTACACCTGTGACAATTTTACCCCAAACTAATTTTTTAATATTATTTTTTATTTTTTCGAATTTTTTTAGTTTTTCTTATCTTTTCTTTTTCCTTTCCTTTTCTTTTTTTTCCCTTCATCTTCAACCTCTGGCCGGTCGTCGGTCCGGCGACCGGCCGGAGGTGAGAGTCGGCGAGGTCGGCCCCACCAGCCGCTGGCAAGGTCGACCTCGCTGGAAACTGGCAAGGTCGGCCTTGCCTCACCCCCGGCGAGGGGTCGTCCTCTCTGTCACTGGCAAGGTTCGACCTCACCGCTTCTGGGCGAGGCTGACCTCGCCAGTTGCGGCGGGGCCAAGCCGCGCCAGCGATGGCGAGGACAACCCCTTGCCGGCAACTGGCAAGGTCGAACCTCGCCAGGGGTGGGCAAGGCCGACCTCGCCAGTTGCCGGCGAGGTCGACCTCGCCGACCAGAGGTTAAAAATGAAGGGAAAAAAAAAAAAGAAAAGGAAAGGAAAATGAAAAGATAAGAAAAACTAAAAAAATTCTTCAAAAAATTTCGAAAAAATAAAAAAATAATATTAAAATATTAGTTCGGGGTAAAATTGTCACAGGTGTACCAGTTTGGGGTTTTTGGTGGTCAAAAAAATAGTTCGGGGTAAAATTGTCACAGATGTACCAGTTGAGGGTTTTTTATGGTCAAAAAATAGTTTGGGGTAAATCTGTCACAAGTGTACCAGTTTAGGGTTTTTCGTGGTATTAACCCTAAACTGAAAAAAAATCATACCAGTTTTTTTACTTTTTAGGTACGTTCGATAAGTAGAAAATAAGTTATTTAAAAAATCATCAATTGTATCATTTAAAAAAATAAATTAATAAAAAAAATTTCGTTGTCCATAAAAATAGTTAGATATAGATTATTATCGATAATGAAAATATTTTTCATTAATTAATTTTTCTAAACAGTATAAGTAATCATTTTTCGAAAAATATTTTCCAAATCATTCATTTTTCATAAAACAAACGCACCCTTAATTTTCACTTAATTACAATTTCACACCACAATATTGATTTTTTTAAATCCAAAATATCTGAAATTTCACGAAATGCAAAATATTTGCATACGATTTAAAAAAAATAAATGATATTCTAAATTTTGACAAAAAAGAAAAAAAACAGGTATTTCTTGTTTTCACTTTAGCTCGAAAAAACATACCCTAACGGATGTGCTTTTTATGTTTATTATGTTTGTCTTAAAATTATATTAGCTTGGCTAACATGATTAAGAAATCATTCGTTTTGTGTTTGATAATCATGCATTCGTACTTGCGATTCATTTATATAATTTGATATCTTTCAAGTCCTTTGCCCTTGATTTGTTGACGATATTATCTTCTGGTATAACATGCGATTTAACATACTAGTAGGTGAGAATTAGAAATTGAACAAAATAATTAGAAATTGATGAAATGTTTCCTTTTGGGATATGATTTATAATAAACAAAGAATGACATTGTCCCCTCGTAATTTGATTAGATTTGTCCTTTAATAATCTAAATATATCTCTTTTAATGATTTAATAAAAAAACTAAGATTAATATATTTACAAAAATTGAAAATGAAATGTGTAACTTTCAGATAAGATATAAAAAGAATTGATCTTATCCATTCCTGATTCAGCTCTCACTGTAATTATTTGGAAGAGAGGGAATCTCATGCGAACAAAGAAAGAGAGTATCAATCAAGATAGAATAATAAAGAAAAAATGTAGAATTACATATCCTTTTAATATATTAAATAGAATAATTAGATGTATTAAATAAAAATGGAAAAATTCAAAATAAGGGCATGAAGTTCCCTTATTTTCTCAAATAAGTGTCTAAAGTGGCCATATCAATCTGAAAAAAGGGTTTGACCTAACCGACTAGTCGAGAGCATTTTCGTCCTTTTATTTTTTCTTTCTTTTTCCTTTTTTTCCCATTTCTTTGTTTTTCTTCATAGCCAGCTAGCAAGGGCACGGCAAGCCGCTGGCGAGGGTTGCCTCACCTAGGCCCTCGACGGCCTCGGGCGAGGTGACCCTTGCCTAGAGCTAGCAAGGGTCGATCCTCGCCCAATGCTGATGAGGGTCGCCGGGCACTTGCCGGCCAAGCGAGGGAGAAAAAATAGGAATGGGAAAAAAGAATAAAAAAGGAAAAAAATGCTAAATGACAAAATAACCATAACTAGCTAGTGGGGTTAGGCCATTCTTTGAAATTGATATGTGCACTTTATGCTCTTATTTAAAATAAAGTCCAGTTAAGGTCCTCATTTGAGAAAATGATGACACTTTAGATTTTTATTTTGAATTTTCTCAATAAAAATAGGTTAAAAGGGAATAATTCATCCTGACAATAACACATAAAATGTAAAAAAGAAAAAGAAAATGAAGAACGACTTTCTTAAAGCTTCTCCTCCCTCGCGTCCTCCCGCGTCACAAATCACCATTGACCCTTCCCTCATCTTTCGTTGTCATCTTTCGTTGCCCGCGAGTGTCTGCATCCCCACCATCTTCTCCGATCGTCCCATCGCTCCACCTCGACGAACCTTCAAGGATTCTCTCCTTGGCCGTCCTACTTCGCCTCCTCAATCTTGGTTTCAGGTATTTCGCTATCAAACAGGAAGTCGGCGACATCGACAATGTTGGTATTTTGTACAAACGAAGAGATGCCTTCTCTCATATTGAAAAGTCATGAATACGGGCAATTATTATTTTTATTTACTAAAATTCGGATTTATAATTGAAAAAAAATATTTATATCATATTAAAACAGTATGACCGTTTGCAATAGAGTTGCGGTTCTTTTTTTAATATTTAATTTCGAATTTTATTATTTTTGCATAATGTTTATTAGGTACTCTTACAACCTTTGGAAGTTGTGTCTGTTTGGACATAACTTCTTAATCTATGAAAAATTGCGTTTGTTCGGACATAACTTCTTAACTTTGAAAGGTTGTATCCATTCAAACATTTATTCACTATTATGTAGTTAACATTTCTATTCAATATTTTTAACCTCCATTTTTGTTTCTTTCAAGAGAAATACATCATTCTTTGAGAAATACCAGAATTGCTGTGACATACCGAAATTTCCACATCTGATAATGGTATTTAGATTATAACCTAAATCTTATTTAGCTTATAATTCGGGTAGATCGTATTTGGGTTGTTAATATTGCAAATTATGGAAAACGTGAAGAATGATTTTCCGTGTCCATAATTATCTTAGACTCGATTAAATTAGTGATGGTTGATGTGTTCATAGACTATATAGAGTAACACTTTTATTTACGACTATTTTAGATTTTTGTGGAGTACGGACATTTTCTCAAATGTTAATAATTTTTTAGTTTAAAATTTATTAAATTAATATCTTCATAACATTCGGTATTACATACACTTAATTCTAGTGGATTTAAGAAGCCAAAATTTCATTATTTAATTTAATTATATCTAATTTATGTTACTAAATGAGCTACTTCTACTAAGAAGAGAGTGGAAGTACACATGGATAAGCTTCAAGCACACAACTTCATCTTTATAAGCCTCCCTTGTTAAGTCACTTAAGGGGCTATTTGTCATCTTAGCAAGTGCGTGTTATACTTGTTATAATTGAAAGCCATAACACTTAAATGTCTTCTTGTATGCAAGAGTACATGGCTTATAGAAATGAAGCCACTCGTTCTTTTTAAAATAAGTCATTCACTTCTCTTCCACTTGGCAAAAGAATTAAAGAAAATTTTTGACACTTGTTGTAACATCCATGATTCTGGCCATAAAAAATGGTTATAGAACTAATGTGCCGATAGTGGGAGAAATTGGCTATGGACAATTCCAAGGAACGATCATGGATCAATCAACCCGATTGGAAGGGTGACCAAGGGATCAGCCATGGCTTGATCGAAGGATTGACCCTGGAATGATCGAGAGATCGACAGTGAACCAATCCACTAACCACACAAGTGACCCGAGCTATCCATCCATGGATTAGCTGGTTGACCATAAGGGTTGGTTATAGGACGGTCACGTACCACCGCAGATCAATGGACGATCATGGATCGATCTCGTGCGAACCTCTTCCGGTCGCGGGTGGTTCCGCATGGTCATGTATCGACCGCGAACGACTATAGATCGATCCGTGCGATCGTGTGTCGGTTATGGAATAATCGATTCCACACAACTACATGACAACTGAAAGTCGGCCACGGACCAAGTATGCTTGGCCATGAACCGGTCATGAACTGGCCATGGACCACTTGGGATAGGCCATGAACCGATCATAGATCGGTTATAGATTGGCTCGGCCACCCCACCGTTAGGCCATGTGCCAAGGCATGAGCTTGGTTTTGTGCCAGGCCATGAGCTGACCATGTGCCCGGACTTAGACCTTGCTGTAAGGCCACGAGCTAGGACAAGTACTGGCCATGTGCTCGGCAAAGCCGTGGACCTTGCTATAAGGCCGCGAGCCAGGACAAGCATGGGCCATGTGCCCAGTCAGCCTAGCCCTACGCCCGGCCAGTGCCGGCCACGGAGCCCACGCGATAGGCCATTGACTTAGCCTTGCTAGGCAAGTTTGACTGTGACCCGTCTCACCCGATGGTGATTCGGCTACAAACCTCGGTTTGATTGGCACGGTCATTCGTGGATGAACACGAGAAACTCTCGCCCGATGGTATAGGCGCTTACATCAACTTCTCTCT